CTACAGCACGCAAAAGGAATGCATCCACAGCCTTGATGGGGCTGTGCAGCTGGTGCTGTATCATATGATATAAAAAGCACATGACATCAACCAGTGTTAATGGAAGGGAGAGGGTTGAAGAAAAAGAAGGAAAGAGGAAATATTTAAAGCCCCTTTATAATCCATAACCAAGGTTTCCTCAGTTTGAAATTCATCATTATTAGCTCACATGCAATAACTATTGTAGCTGGGTGATGATTTCTGTTTTGAAAAAAAAAAAAAAAGAGGAAATGAAATTTTTCTACTTTCATCTTTCCCTTCCCCCATCCTTCCTGTTATAATTGTTCCCCCATCTATAAATAATCACTTATTTACAGGACAAAGGGAACAGGAGATTTTAGTATTTGCCTTCTTCCTTTATTTACCTCTGATGCAAGTGACATTGCTTCAAGTAAGATATGTTAAGGGCTGCCAATACTTAAAGTAATGTGTGCATTTCTTTTTAACATTTTGCATAACTGATAATCTATTTTCTGACTTGAAAAAAATGCGGTAATTTTTTCTTTATCAATCCAATTATATTTAGATTTTAAAATAACTGACTAGAAAAACATTGCAAGTAATTAAGTATTATAAAGAGATAAATACTTGGGTGAATGTGCTCAAACACATCTGGCTGAGATGTTGCAAATAATTCCAGAATGAAGGGTTGGTCTGAGGTCCCATCAATGGCATGTACCCAGCGATAGAGCCAGAAGTCTTCACCATGCTCTATACAAACAAATACCAAGGAAAAATATAAACATTTCTTCAATATATTAAAAATTATTGCCTAAATTTTGAAAAGTGATATTTATAGAAAAACCTCTCTTTCTTGCTCTTTCAGCCCTTCCTACAAATGTCACAAGACCAATAACGTCACAGGAATGATTGTTTGGTAAGGCATCCAGTTCTGACCTAAAAACAGAAAAAAAACAAAAAGCTCATTTTAATTTCATTAAGCTTTCTTAGAAGCTTCTTGAAAGAAATTTTCAATTTACATTCTGTGTAATTTAGTAAAAATCAAGCTCCAGCTTGAGAAATGAGATTTTATTTTACCTTGTGATAAATCGATATTTTACTTCAGGTAATCCCCATTCTGGCTTCACCATGTCCTCTGGAATAATACTTATTTTAGTAGGTGGGTCTCGAACGTTCAAGCTGATTTCTGATGAAGAAAAAAAAAAATAAAACAGTCACATTTAAGGCATGAATACAAATTAAAAATATTCTTACTTAGGCTAAAAACAATTCAAAAGCAAGTAATTATTTTTAAAAGAAGTACTCTAACTATTCTACTGCTCGTGAAATTCTTAAGCAAGTCTTTCAACTTTAGTTTTCATCTGGATAAAGTAAGGAATTCAGATACAGTATTCATCAATGCAGTGTTATGATCTGAGCAATGCTAAACTTTCCAGTTCTCTAGATGAGCCCATTTGCTCTGATCCAGACAGATATTTTAAAAAGCAACAACAGGTACTGACAGAACATGAATCATCAATAAAATAGTTTTACACTATTTCCATTCTCAAAGGTCACTACAATTTAAAACCAACTTACAGAGGATGAACTATAACAGAAGACCAAGTAATAGATCAGAACGTCCATCTCTAATTTATGTTCAATTAGTTATTAACATGATTTAAATATACCATGGCCATGCAGGAAAAGGATGAGTTTATTCTATAGCTCCTGAAAAACTGAATTTAGCAAGCAGACTGCTTAGATACTGAATAACACAGCAGAGCGTTGTGGAGGGAGAGTGGAGATAGCAGGCTTCTGCAACCAGATAAACAGTATGGGAGGAATGGTTTCAGCAGCTAAAATATAAAAGGCAATAGTCTGTTCCATCTCTCACAACAAGGCAAATCTTGCTGATATTCAAGACTGATTCAGTTTCTACAAGAAATTTTGATTTGGATACGGAATCATTCCAGTAATGCAGCCAGAAAAGAGCTATAAATAACACATAGGATTGTTTATAATTACATCAGACCTCTCCCACAGTGCAGGAAGTTGTTATACTTAACATAAGACCCTCCGCTTCCTTGTTTGTCATCTGCTACAAGATGCGTACAAAAGTATCCTGAGGACAAGCGTGGTTTGAATTCAGTCTTTGAAGACAGTATTTCAGAGAAAACCAAGAAAAACATTCCTCAACACATTCATCAGTAGCGCCATCATTTTGAGATTAGGTGAATGCGAGAGACTCAAGCTGGGACTATGCTCTGGAATGATTCAGAAGCTAAGGTCAGTCCAGTCTATTAAAAACAGCACTTTTCATCAGTACCACATAAATTCAGCCATCTGCGAGATGCACACATTACTCAGAGGCTTCTTGGTGGAATTCAAGGTAGTGGTAGCAACTAATCAAGCTCCAAGAACCACAGCTGCAAGCTGCAGAAGCAAGCAATGTATAACTCGCTTTGTGAGACTCTGGGAGCGTGCCAGGAAGATGGGGTCTTGCGAGAACTTTTAACTTTGGAAGCACTTTCAAAACCCTTGCAGCCTACCAAGCTCTGACTTCGTTATCGCTCTAGATGTATTTTAAATAATTTACAGGCAAATGATGGTAAGAAAATATTGGGAAAAGGGGATGTGATAGAATTACAAAGTGGAAGCAGATTACGAAAGAAGCTGTTACTTACTCAACAAACACTTACTCAAGCAATTCCATGTAACTGATTGCTTTAACTAGCTAATTGAAGAACTTTGAGTACACAGTAGGGACCCTTTAAAACCGGAAATGATATTGCCCTATATTGGGGGGTGGTGAGAAAAATGATACTTGCCCAAAAAGCAAATTTTACTATGCAGAAAGGTTTGAGGCAATTAAAATTGCTCTGATGCTGGCTTATAATCATCACCAGCTTACTCTTTCTGCACAACCTTCATGAACACATACACTTGCTTGTTTCATGGAAAGTATCTGAATTTTCTCATTGTTGGACATCTGATTCAAGTACAAACATGTAAGGGAAAACTCATGTTCAGGGAAATAGGCACAAAAAGAAACGTTGATAAAGTTAGTATTGTGTAGTTTGGAAAGGCTGTTTTTGTTACACTGTAACACTGGTATTTCTGTAGCATAGCTCTCTTGATAATCTGTGACATTAACCAACAACAGAAAGTTGTTTTTTGCCACAGAATATTCTTCATCTGTGTGCTCCCCATGGTGCTGCTGTTTCAGTAGAGACAGTGGTCATCGTTACAACCTTCTATTCAATGGAGCTTTGCAGATGAGGCTTATCCCATACACTAAAGTCTAATGTAAGCATCAGATCATGAGACTCAGCAGTCTGGAAGAAGTGAGCAATGCACAAATCATAGCTGTATTATTAATCAGAAGCAGAACTAGATTAAAATACAGTACCAGAAATCTGTGCTTACAATCCCAGTACTTGAAATCAGGAGTCAGATTTCTTTCTTTCTTTCTTTTTTTTTTATAAAGGTTTCAATTAATTTTGGCAAAAAGCCTTGTAAATGTGAATCAAATATCAAAAACTTCTTGAATGCTAAGGAAGCTGTCAGAGACACTATTTAAGGGTATGTATCACAGCAGATAATCTCTTAAAATGGATCACTTTCCATTCTATTTCTGTGAAGAGCTACATTTTACCTATTCTTGTAGCATGAATAAGAGATTCTTTTCTTCTGTAAGACAGAAAAATAAGAATAGTGTATTGGCCATATAATATCTGGCCTGCATGAATGAATTCTCATGAGTTATCCACAAATGACTAATTCAAGCAGTTCTTAATCTACTGACAATTAAATAAAATTAAAAAAAAAAGACAACATTACTAGGACTTGAAACAGAGAAATGAGGCATTAGGATACCAAGTTTCATTTGCCTACTGCAATGAGAGAGAAGAAATCTTGGCATTTGGGTAAGAGGTGGGTAATGCTTTCTGTAAGGACATACACATAAACTCTCTTTTCTATTCTATTCTGCAAACATCTTCCAGTTGATTAGTTCACAAAAATTCCTGCAGAGTTTCAGTCTTCAAATCTCCTGAACAGTAATAAGTTTCTCATGCAGTGAGAAAGGGTGCCAAAGATGGAGCCCATGGTCACAGAAACAGAGGCAAGAATAGAGGGTCCATTACCAAAGGGGCATCAGACAGGATGAAAGGCTGGGGGCAAAATATGCCCAACATGCGCCCATCAGGTCTATGCTCATCAGATCATAACCCATGCTTGCAGAATCCCATCAACATCCTTTTCAAAAAGGCACCTGTTTTTTATCTGCTTTGAGAAATAAACCAGAAAAATATCGCTCTAGTGATCAGAAGGCCACCTAACTTGACTGGCACTGATGTCGCTTTCAGCTGAAATGGTATCTCATTTTTACAGCTATATGTCATTAAATCAAAACATTTCTGTAATACTTAACCAATTGTAGCAAATCTCTTCATCTGTGAATCCCCTGGGGTTGGCTGTGTTTTAAATGGATAACTGTTTTTGACAGCATACTGCTCAAGAAGCAGCACTGTGCCAACCTTCATACTGTTATACCACTCAGGACATAATGAATTCCACAACACCATGGACATCATGCCTGAACCATCAGCAACTTCAAAGTATGCCTAAAAGAAAAAGTGACAAAATACATTTAATTACCGCCATTTGCTAAGATTTGTATTGAATAATGCATTAGCTATTATGTCAGCATCACGGACAATTTCTTTGCCGATTACAAACAGATACAGAATATACTCCAAAACAGGCACTCAAAACTGGAGGTGAAGAAATCTCCAACTTTTACATAAGAATCCATCCATAGCTATCCCTTCCCAAACTCTTATCTTTCCACTGCTGAGTAGTGGTAAGTGACACCAGCTTGACTCAGTATTCTTCAGAGGAGATTTGGGAAGTATCATATGCAAGAATAATAATAATAATAAAGTTTCCCTTCTTACAGTAACACTTCAGAATGTCCATGAAGAAAATGGTATGAAGGTTGAGCTATTATAAGATCATTGATTACATAAACCATCATCATCAAAAAATATGACTGATTTTTCAAGAAAAAAAAAGATTCAGAAAACAAACATTTTATCAAAGTTAAAATATAAAACTGCATTGTGAACAATTTTCTTTCCATTATATTTTTTCTTGCAACAAAGATTTCAACCTCAATTTTCTTCCCCCGCTTAAAAAAAAGAAACAAACAAACAAAAAATACACAGACAAAACAATAAAACAAAACAGAACCCCACACAAGTATTACTTTGAATTAACTGAACACATCTCAGAGCACTGGAAGAGGTAAAGCTTTTTAAACTTATAATGGTCTTATAAGGCAGCAATCCACCGCAAAAGATAGTTCTGCCAAAATACCTCATTTTATCCACTCACCTGTCAGCCTCAAGCTGTCATCTGCCTTTGTCCACACTACCACTTACTCTCTGTAATATTATAATTCCTGGGCATATCCAGTGCCTATGTCTTTTATTCCCTTGCTGTCTTTTCCTAATTCCAAACAGTATGCAGATATTATACAAATTAATGCTTGTTTGCTCATCTCCATATCAAAAATTAATCACAAACCATGCACATTTGAAATTAAACTATTATAACATCTTTTGTTACTCCATTGGTCTCTAGCTAGTAACGATAGCTCAACACACCACTTTTCTATGAAAGAAATAAAAGCATGTATAGAGAAGAAAAAACACGCAAAATCTCACTTCTATTTTGTCCAGGTAAATCAGATCTGGGTATTGATTCTGCAATTAATACCAAGAAACACGACTGATGAACTTCCATGGAAGTTAGGAGTACCACCTAGACTGTTTGTTGACAACCTCTTACAACATGATGCAGAGACTTATCTTCATGCAGCAAGGGAACAGAAACTTGGAACAAGAGAACTACACAGCCGTCCTAAAGGAGTTTCATAAACCTCTCTCCCCATGAAAAAAATTCACGTGGGTTACTGGACCTCTTTGTAAAATGCTGCCCTTTCTTCCCCCTTCTAAGGAATAGTACACAGAAACAACCATTACAAAAAGCATTAAGAATTTGACAGCAAACTAACTTAGCCTTCCGGAAGTCATGAGATGAATCAGGGGAAACAGATTGTTAGGTTTCACTTGCTTCTGTTTGTCAGAAAAGGCAGATTAACTCCTGCTTCCATAGCCAGATAGCAAAAAAGTTCAGGCTATTAAGCTACTGAAAACTGTTAAGTAATTTCACACAAAAAGCTCAGCTGAAACTTTGCATATATGACCACTAAACCCATCACACTTTTGAAGGCTTAACATTCTTATACAGGTAACCTTTTCAGCATAACTTCGCTACAGCATAATTCTTAACAGCACGTGCTACATGGGACCTATCTCCCAACTTCCTACAACTGTAGTTCAGGAGTGCCAAGCAGCATCTTTATCCCTCTTTACCTGATAGGGCATATCCAGCTTTTTGTCTGGTTTCCCGTAGTACCTTAGTCTAGATTTGTGCAGGACCCTCACGAGCAGCGGCTGGAAGTGAACTCTGCTTCTCCACGTCATTTCCAGGTGACCAAGAGAAGTCAACCTGGAGACTACGAGCAAAAAGAGAGACCAAAGCGGAGCGTTAGCGGTTGAACACTCAGGCAGGCTCCGGAACCAAGGCCACAGACAAGCGCTGACGCTCCTCGCCGCTTACCGTCGACGTCCACTCGCGCGGGAGGCTTCTCGGCCACCCACATGTCGCCGTAGGGGTCATCGTTGTTCCAGAGGGGCAGGTAGTGCCTCCTGCCGCCCCGCAGCGGCTGCGGGCGGCG